TCGTTTGTTACTTAACAATTTTAGAAGAAGCAATTGATGAAAGGCTATAATTGTGTTCTTTCCGAAGAAAGTTATTCGTATCTCGTTATTAAACAATTAAGCTTAGCCGCATTTAAACAACTTTTAAATTGTTGATAATTCTACAAATATTCCATACAGATTTACTAGAGGCATAAAAACCTTAACTGAAAGATAAGAATAACATAATTCAATCATTTTTAAAGCAAAAAATGCACAATTTACAAACATATACGAATAAAGAAACTGAGATCACCAAGCCGAGTAACAGAGTGGATATATAGTATATATATATATATATATATTATATATACATACTTTTATTGCGACCGATTGCAACCAAAATACGATGTGCACATCCACATGTTACAGCAGTTCTATATACAAACTTTCAACGTTCTGAGGCTATTCGTTTTTGATTCGTTTTGCGAGATACATACGTACGTCCGCACAGCGCCACGAAAAATTCGCTTCAGAATTCATTTTTAATTAGTTTTGCAATTTTTTGGGGGAGGAAGAGCCCTTTAGTCTGTTCTTACGTACAGATGTCACGCAAAAATATCGTTAAATTACGTTCAATAGCGGTAAAAATTTGATATTTGCGTTGAAATATGATGCCTGAAACTTTTCGCGATTGCAATACTTCCTTTTTACTTCTTTGTACAAGGAAGTAAAAACGTTATGAAAACCATGGTATTTCGACATCTACCGCTGCGATAGGTAATGTTGTCAACAACAACGGGAAAAAAACTTCAAAATTTAGTTTCAAGTTGAAAAATTGTTCCAAATACGTATCCAAGGAAACAATGTAATGTTTCGAATGTTGCAAAAGTAAAATCTTTAATATTAAAAAGAATCCGCCAAGTCAAAGGGCAGTTGCAAAAACATTACAATGATCAGTGCCAACTGCAAACAAAATAATTAAGTTGATTTGAATCTTAAAAAGGCAAAAAAATATAATGTGAATCGTCTTTCTAGACGACATATCGCAGAACGCGCTGCTGAATTCTTTATGAGAAACATTGACCCAGACAAAAGTGTAAAAATATTGTCACAGTAGATGAATCTTTGGTGTACTTAAATGACTGCAATAAAAAGAGATCCATTTATTATCATCAAAGAGAAGGAAAACTTAAAAACATAGTTCAAGGAATCTAAAGAAAGTTTTTCTATTGGATTTATGATTGTCGTTGGTTTTTTATATAACGGTAAATTCAAAATAAAGAGCGTGTAGGAAAAAGTTAAGATCAACTAAACGTATTATCAAAAACATTTTTATATCCAATTTTCAAATATGAAATATTTCTATTTACACACAGTGTGATGAATAACAACGACACGTTAAAATTTACTGTTAATTTCATATGAAAAATGGAACAAAATGCTGGTGTCAATGTCTCTTCACTCATATCCCTACTACTTCTGATCCGTCACCAATGTGATTTTCCGCTTTTGGAATTTAGAAAGCCGGTTGTTCGAATGTAGACATATAACCTCTTTGGACTTCGGAAAGCTGTTCGAGAGCATTGGGATAAAATACCTCTTCCGATACTACAAAAGGCTTTATTGTTTATTTTTATTACGGTGTATAAAGGTAGTGGAAAATAACGGTTGTCAAACAGAACATTAAAAACATAAAAAGTTTCAGTAAAATATTTCTGTAATTACAATGAAAATAGTCTAAAAAGTGAGCGAAAAGCCTCTGTATTACAGGCCTTTAGTTTGCAAACAGAAGCAAATTTTTATTACTTTTCCCGTTAGTCTCGAAGGTTGGTATATTACAGAAACTACATTTCTTCCCGTCGTATATGATTAGATAATATTGACGTGATTTCAAGAACTCGGAAAGAGATAGTAAGAGAAGAAGTTGCTTCTATGAAAATATTCAGAAGATATCAAGCGATAAACAATGTTAAAATATTAATATTATTACTAATAGAAGAAATATATGTATAAGAATAATTAAACAGTGATAAAACTGATTTCTTCAATGAATTTATGAATTACCTTTATCAGATTCAATGAGAATATTATCAATGCGGTTAACATTATCCAGTTTTGAAAACTCATAACAAGTCCTTAGGTTTTTATTTGACAATGGAAGCAATAATATTTCTTTTTCCAAATTTTTTCCAAATTCTATCTCTCTCTTCTCTCTCTCTCTATATATATATAGAGAGAGATGGATATATATATATATATGTTTAACTTAAAAAGTCCATTTTTAAATTTTAGATATGTGACATAAGACATAATACAAATCATAATAGCGTCAAAGTTTATGTTGAAAAATAACGTAAACAAACTTTCTTTCTTACTCTCTCACAATAATTGTTTATACTTTTGAAAAGTATAGCTAAAAATAGGTACTTTTTTCAAAAATTGTTATTTCTTTCAAAAAGCTGGAAATTTTGCAGTAAATTAAAGAAATAAAGCAATTGATTGTTTTATCATTTTTACTGTTCATTCCAACATCCGGGCTTTAACTCCCTTCTGCGGTGTAAAGGAAGTATTGTAATCGCGAAAAATTTCAGGTATCATTATTTCAACGAAAATATTCATTTCAACCGCTCTCGAAATCATTTGAACGATCTGTTTGCGTGACATCTGTACGTACGTATGTATCCTGTAGAATAAAGGACTGTTTTGCCAAAAAGTATTTAAAATGATTCAGAAGAGATTTTTTCCTTGACTTCTGTACGTACGTATGTATGTATCTTGCATTACTAAAGAACGATTAGCCGTAGAACATTGTAATTTTGCATGTGCGACTGCTAATAACATGCAGTTTTAAAAATTCCTTTTTCGTTTCAATCTTCTGCACCAATCGTATATAAGTATATATATATTCCCACTCTATTACTTGACTCGATGAGCTTAGCTTTTTTATTCTTATTTGTTGTCAAATTGTGCATTTTTTGTTCGATTGAATTTTGTGGTTTTTTATGTCTTTAGTTAATCTGCATGCAGTAGTTATAGAATTATAAACAGTTTGAAAGTTTAAATGGCTAGTTAAGCCTAACGAACCACCATTTGTTTACATTTCAAACTCAGTATAATAGTGCTTTAAGTCAGTTTCTGCACCTTCAGTGTCTTTTTACCGAGTGGTCGGTCATACAAGGAAGTCACAACATTATCTTAGATTCTAAAATTATACAAATGTAATGGCAGGCAGCATAATTAAAAAAAAGTATTAAGTTAATTTTAACAATAAAACTATTGCAGTTTCCGCCACGTTGCCGTTATGTCTTATTGAGTTCATCAGTGGCTAATTCTATCGTTTTGTCATGGTATTTTGCGAAATTAGACGCAGTGTGACTAGCCAAGTATCCGCTTTTTAATTTAGAAGCTTATCGTAAATAATTCGAATCTTCGCGGCTAGGTCAACTTTAATTTTGTAGAACGAGAAATTCATCGTTTTAGCTTTTGTTAACATTTTAGTTTGTAAACTATGAGAGGTAAAAAATTAAACATTTATTTGATTTTAACACGGATATTTTTGTGCTGAATACAGTTAAAAAGTTTGTAGGATTCTCCACTGTGTAATTCTAAGTTACAGTTGAAAGTGAAGAATCTTAAGAACTAGTAAGTGAATAATCGCTTGAGCTCGTGTACAGGAAACAACAAATAAGAAAGGTGAAATAACCCTTTATTATTCCAATTAAAGTTTAACAAAATTCCGTCTTGGAGAGTTACAATAAAGCCGCCACTTGGGTTGGAACTTAAGAAATTAAGAATTAAACTAAACTAATCTTAACTAAAGGGATATAGCCGAAGTTATCAAAATTAATAGGCCCACCAGCGGCCGAGCGGTAACGTCACTGAACACTGGTAGTTCGGTCCGAGGTTCGAATCCCGCGAACGGGCTGGCTGCATGGGTGTTTTCGTGATTTTTCCCATGTGTAACGTGTATATTAGCCAGTTTCCCTTAAAAAGTCCTCCACGAAGGCATCCCTCTCTTAAGGCAGATAGCCCTCGAGTGCTCTGCTGTAATCTAATAAACCAAACCAAACCATCAAAATTAATATTGTGAAAAATACTCAGAAGGATACAATAGAGATTAAGTCAAATCTAACTGTTAGTAAAAGTTAAGAATAATTGTCTAAACTTAAAAACTAATGTGCGTTCATTTTACATTAAGTTATCTAATACTGATTTCATAAACTTTTTCCCTTCAAACATTATTGCCACATTTTGAAACTTTCAAAGCAATATATATGTGAATTCCTTTTTAAGTAAAAGCTATGGCACCTTGCTATTGGATTTGAGAGTATTTGGGTTATTGTAGTCACTACAGCTAGCTCTGTAATTTCTAATTACTAGGTGCCACTGATTTTCCTTGTACGAGTTATCGTTATGAAAGTGATATTTCTAAGTTCATGCAGGCAAGAATTCGATAAAATTTAAGAAAACTTTAACTCAAACTCACTTCTTGAGATAGCATTCAGCTTCTCACAGAATTAGATCTTTAGATGGCAGGCTCGGGCAACTTTCCGGTTCCAGTTAACGCATATTTATACTCTTGCGCTCGTCTAAAAACGCAGTATTACCATCTGGAGAGAACGAGCTATGTAATTAAGTCAGAAGTGATAGAAAAGATGCAAATTAAAATAAAAAGCCAATTTGTTAATTAAAATATAAACTAACTTGTCAAAATACAAAGTCAGTTTACTTAATTAAAAAGTTATTAGACAGCATTTCTATATATAAAATTTTAAAATTACTGTATTTCAATTGACGAGCTCCCACAACTTCAGAAAGAAATCCTGTTGCAGATTTTCCTGCTTTTGTTTAAATAACATATTTAATTCCATCAGGTGCTATAATTACCAATTTTTGTGTCAAATGATGAAATGTTATCACAGTATTTCTCCATTTAAGACATGCTCTTATACTTGATGTAATATATGTCGTAACTGTTCTGTGTGATTTTTAACATAAGTATTAATCCTGTACTTTTTTTTCTTGTTAATATTTTTCAGGTTCCTGGCTACATCAAAATTCCAACCAACCTATGCCAGAAGAGCATTCCCTTGCTTCGATGAGCCTAGTTTTAAAGCAACGTTTTCTGTTTCTCTTGTTCACACACCGAGTTACATAGCCCTTTCTAATATGCCTGTCGAGGTAAGTTCACATCCAGTAGAATTTGATTACATGATACAGATTTCACAAAATGTTGCTCTGCTGCAAAGAAATATATTCATTTATTATTTTTATGCAGTTACTGATTGTAATTTAGAGTTATTCGTAATGAGTCTGTCTCATTCAGATGAGTGTAGCTGTATATTTATCAAAAGAGTATCAGTTTCGTATACATAAACTGAAATAAATGATATGGAAACTATATGACATCCTTGTACGGTCCATTAAATTATATAAATTTGCTGTCGCATTTCATTTAAACTTATTTCCACGAATTTCATAAGACGTATAATTTTCATTCAATTAATTCAGTTCGCATTTCGCGGCAAGGCAAAAATACTTGCTCAAAGCATCTACATTAAAAATTGTAAAATACAGAAAAACATAAATGCCAAACACTTACAATTTATTAGAGTTTCTATGCAAAAACAAGCAATTCGGCCAGCGTGCAGAAAGGCAGCTTTTCCGGTGCACAAAACTGAGTTTACTTTTGGTCCCACTCCTGCAAAAGACACTGAAATTAGGGCACATGCTGACTTAATTCACTATTTTATTAAGAGTTTCAGATGTAAGCAAATGGCGGTCTCGTTAGGCTAAGAACTACTTTTAAATTGTTGATAATTCTACAACTGTTGCATGCAGATTAAATAAAGGCATAAAAACCTTAACCAGAACATAAAAACAACATAATCCAATCAAGTGTAAAGTAAAAGTGCACAATTTATGGACATATAAGAATAAACACTTGAGCTGATCGAACCGGGTAACAGAGAGGTAAAAAGTAAAATAAGACATCAGAGAAAAATAAGACATCAGAAAAAAAAGAATATAAAAGAACAAGAAAAAAGTGGAATTTCTGTATATGCATACATATACGTATATATGTATATATGTGTAGTGTAGCCGATTGCAACCAAAAAGAGAGGTGCTCAACTACACGTTATTGTAGTCCCATACATAAAGTTTCGAGGTTCTAAGGCTACTTGTTTTTGAGTTATGCGAGATACACACCTACGTTCGTAAGTACAGACATCACAATAAAGTCTCTTCTGAATTCATTTTTAAATCCTTTAAATCCGTTTTACTATCCGTTTCGGAAAAAAGAGTCCTTTATTCTTTATTTTCGTAGGTTCAGATCTGGCGCAAAAATATCGTTCAAAATTTCGAGAGCGTTCAAAATGCATATTTTCGTTGAAATATGATACCCGAAATTTTTCGCATTTTAAATATTTCCTTTACTTCGTTCAAGGAAGTAAAAAGGAAACCTCTGAGTTTTAGAATGCCTTCAGAGTACATGTAAAATACCCTATTATTTTAAAAAAGCTCTTTCTAAGCTGAATTAGTCTCACGATACCTCAGCGTTTCACATGATTTAAGCTGGCCACCTGTGGCGTCAGTTCTTATTCTGCGCAACCTTTTGCTCTAAAGATAAGTAAAACACATCGGACATATTTGTCCACTCGTCAAAGTGATTTTAAAAGCGCATTATTGCTGCTGAGAAACTAGTAGTAAAAGATATACAAAAGCAAATATACCAAATAATTTGGTCATGTAATTAAAGGAAATTACGTAGTATAATTAAAGGAATTACATAGTGTAATTAAAGGAAATTACATATTAATGATTTTTCAATTCATTCACCGCTTTTCACTATTGTTTGTAAATTGCAAAAATAAAATCTCCTAAAATCGGCTTAACCACTTCGAATAATTCTGTATTTAATTTCTATTGGAATGATGTATTACGTCTTCTAATGAAGATAAGTATTAAAATATCCACATGGTACCGAATTTAGATTTTAGATGTATTAAAGTAATATGGTTGTGGTACAACTCATAGTGCGAGGCAACTCTGCCCTGGCTTCTTGGCCTTTCAGATTAGTGCCGCCCCACACAAAATTCAATTTACAATGTGGCGACCCCACACAGCAAGGGCAGACTAAGCAGTACCAGTACGGTCCCTGCCGAGCCTTACTCTGTCCCGAGAGCATATTTCACAAGTGCACATCTACATAGCCACCGAGGGAGTGGCTTCTAGAATGGACCAATGGGCATCCAGTAATATTTCTGTCATGTTACATGATCTTTCGCGTACTTTTAGATTTGAACAAGATGGTTGAAAATATTCTGCCACGCAATTTTCTGTATAAAATAATTAAAGCATCGTCGATTTCTTTTGAAAATTTTCATTGCGAAGTTAGATCAAACATAAGCAATTGTGAAGATTTCACTACCTGGCTGAAAGAATTTGAAATAAATACAAACACATGTTGGATACTCAGCAAAACTATCAGTCTGAAATATTACTTAATAAATTGTAAATAAGATGAAGAAAGAATGTGTGATAAACATCTGAGCCCAAATGCTATCTTTATATAAACTATGCATATGAGAAATATTTACACCAATAATATATGTAAATAGAAGTAAGCACTTTTTATTGCAGTCTATATGAGAAAGAGTTCTATAATAATAGCCAATGCAGAATCTTATTCAAAATGAACTTTACTAATTTTTCATTTGTATATATTTAGTGTGTTAAATTTCACGTTTAATTACTGCTCACTCTTATGTACTGTGTGCACAAGAAATACTCATCAAACAGAATAAATTTATTTTATTCACAACGAATATATTCAGTTTATTCAAATATAACTTTTAATATTAACGATGAATATAATCAGATCATACACAATATGTATTCTGAATCTTACACTTTAAAAATCAAAAGAAGCAAGCACTGAAATAAGAAAACATTAGATTCATTGTAACACTCCCAGCCTTTCTCAGCTCAATTAAAATAAAACTATACACTTGAATTCTCTTAACCCACAGGTGTTAATAAATTCATAATATTCGAGGCTAATTGTAGCTTGAGTCGTTTCCTCGAGAGCGATAATATGCCGTGAACATCAATCCAAATGTTAATGCGTGATAAGAATCGCAAAAGTGAAATGTTGGCAATTAATTAAACTCATAAAACGAAAGCACTACGAGATTTTGTACTATTACGCCATACATTTATAACTGCGAAACAAATACAAATTAAAACATAAACAACATACGCTCACATGCACGAAGATTTAGCGTCACAATTGCAATAGAAGCTCATTGGTCCATTTTCGAAACCCCTCCCTCAGTGGATACGCTGATGTGCACTTGTGAAATATGCCTCCCGAGAGCCCTCAGGTTCTGTAAAGTCTGTTTTTATGTCCCCGTGGTTGAATACTGGTTAGAATCAAGGTACAGATCCTAACCAGTACTTCCCAAGCGTTCGCCTGAGTCAAACCCCGGGGGGGGGCGAATGGTTGAAGAAAATATTGAATTTTGGTTAGCTTGTGAAGATTACAAGCGTTCCAGAGCTAACAAGCTCAGCTCAAAAGCTCGAAAATGTAGTAATTTTGTAGCTGTACAAGCACTTAAAGAGGTAAGACGAGCTTAATAAAATCATCTTCTAATTATAAGAACCTAAGTGATTTTAAGGGTTTTATTTTTCTGTGCATTAGGTAGCCTAGTTTAGATGCACATGAATTCTACGTGAACAACAGTAAATACGATGACGTATGAAAAGCTTGACATTCAAGCGAATCAATGGTATTTGCGTGAATATACGGCGTAAATCAAACAAATGAATTTACATTTTTATTAGATTTTTTATACAGCTATTGAAGATAGCTCTTGCCTTCAAACAATTCACAGAATTTAACAAGCAATAAATTTATTGATTTCGTGTATATAAGCGTAAAAGGAGAAAGCAAAGGTTCACCATGTCTAATAGCAGCTTGTGAGGGTCTCTTCTGACGCTCGCTGCAAGGTTAATAAACTTTGTTATTGTTTTTATTAATCCGGAGCTGGTTAACAACTCCATGTAGGTTAATTTATAGAGCACGTTCGCGGTCTGAAAATCCTAATCACATCCTGGTTAAAAAGAGCATAAGAAAGTGGTGGTGTTGCTTAGATTGAAACGATTGTTATGAATATGGTTGCCGAAAGAATAGTTATGCGCATGGTTGCCAGAGTTTGGCTCATTTTGAAAATTTGGCCCCTTCTGCTAAAGTTAATACGTAAATACCCTTTTCTTCAATATCATTCCAGAATTTTGCAGACTTTTGCTTTGATTCACAATATTCTGATAAGCTTACATGATGCATTTTTAGGTCTCAAATATTTTACTGAAAAATGTATTTAAAATAGCACTTTAGTTTCTTTATATGGGTTTATGCAATCTAACATGCGTTTTTTGGTATTGTTTGGTACTACTTGATTTTCAAGGCTCCCCTTATCAAAACGTCGCCAAGATTATAACCAAGCTGCCATATCTCTCGATTGCTTTTAATATGATATCAATAAGTTTATCTTTTCTCCACAGGACTTCCACCGCATGAATTCCGAAAGATAGATTCTTAATGGTGTCAAGCCGTATCAATTTGTTTTTTGTTTTGTATTTAACAGGTGTGGTGTTGGTGTATTTAATTATGGCAAAGCACACGAGGGCTATCTGCCTAAAGGGAGGGATGCCTTCGTGGAGGACCTTCTAAGGAAAACTGGCTTGTATACACGTTACACATGGGGAAAACCACGAAAACGCCCATGCAGCCAGCCCGTTCGCGGGGTTCGAACCTCGGACCGAACTACCAGTGTTCAGCGACTTTATCGTATTTAACAGAATCCCACAATCTTTCCATATTTTGGTGTGAATACCCATTGTTAGATCAACAAAATTTAATATGCAATTCACAGTTAAACGGCTGTAACTAGCCTTTTCAAGTTCGTCATTTTTACAGACTCGCCAACAATTTAAATACATTTTCGAACTTGATTTCGAACATATCCTTAATATATCTGTATGCCTAACATGTACCATAATAGTGTACTGTGTTCCCCTTAGTCTCAGTAGTCTCCACCATGCAGCTTCTTTCCATGTTCTGGTCCTTATTTCAATGTTCCTCGTTTAGCGTAGTCAATTGCAGGAGGACACAGTACTAAGCTCTTTATTTATAGTTATATATTATATGAATTTATTTTTAATTCCATCAGCGGGATCCAACAGACTGAAAAGCACCTAACCCAGTTGGCCAGCTGTTCCGCCGTTGGCGAAAAGAAAAGAAAGTCGTTGACATCAGTGTTCTTGCTTCCCGATTTGGAACCTGAACAAGAAAGCAATAGCCACTTTAACGTCATAACCCACAGACTTTTGTGGAACCACTTTTGTGGAAGTACCCTGCCAGCCTTAGTTTTCGCCGCGCAATTTCGACTATATTATTGTATTTATTTCAGCTACTTGTTATTATGTTTATTGTTTAATGTAGGATTTATTTCAGGTATATTACTGCACTTAATATTTGTAATCATTTATTCCTTAAATTCCGCAAATAGATGTGGAATGTAAAAGTGTTTATGGTTGCCCTTTGTTTGGCTATCCGTTTTTACATAATCTGGCGATTTATCACGGGGACCTTGAAAATCAAGTAGTACCTATGTCTTATAGCTGACAAAATTTTTACAATGATATTTGTTACAAATGTTCCTGTCTTGAAATAATCTGTGTTTATTATTAACGGACATACTTCTAAACTCTACATAAACAATAGAGATTGGCTATTCCCCACGACGCCAAAATAATCTTATTCTTGTCCCCAGACATATGGGAATTTGGCTCCATTAGTTTGGAGTATTTGTGATATTAAAATAAAATGTGTTGTTTAAATTAACTAAGTAACTGATTGTGGCATAATTTTTGGTAATTAGTATGTGCTTTAAAAAAGCTGCTTCATGAAAGGTATTTTGATACTAACTTTTTATATAAGTTGCAAATACACAAATTGTTTTTGTGTAAAAGAGGCAGTAAAATATGTAGTATATAGCTACATTATTTTGCTTCAGAGAAAGGTAATAAATTAACCTACAAATTGTCAGAATTTTATTTTGCTAGCAATTAATATACAGGTAGACCTCGCTGTACACTATTCTCTTTTCAACATCCCGTTTTCTGAGAAACTTAAATTTTTCCCTATTTGGATTAATAAAAGGCATTTGGGAGAATTTTAGCTTTCCAAATAGAAAGCGAAAATATCGTTTATCATTTGTTTCCTGCAATGATTTTACAGAACATTAAACATTTTTTATGAAACAGATATACAAATTTAGAGAAATGTTTCAGTATATTTCGATCAACTATGAGGAACTGAATTGTAGAAACAATATGTCAATATCAACAATGAAGCATACTTTCGTTTTTCAAGTCCCACGAATTGACTGGTTGCATGGGAGTTTTCATTGTCATGAATAAAAGCTAGTTTCCTACAAATAACCCATTGTATACGTTGCCATAATTTAATAAATCCATTCGTCCTTTCTTTCGTAAGTTCCGAGTTTTCCCATTATCAAATTTCTGATAACTAGATTTAATGTACCGTTATCACTGCCTCTCCCTTAGTGAGTTTTGGAGGGTTCAAAATACATTATTCTCAAATTTTTTTCTTCTTATAAAGACTTTTTTTACTTTTACGCTGCTAAGGAGGACTACTGACCGGGAACAAGCCCTTGCAGTATGATGTCCGCCCTGCAGACATTTAAGTCTAAATTAAAAAAAAAAAAAAAAACAAAAAAAAAAAAAAAAAAAAACATTTATATGCAATAATTTATAATACTGAACCACACCACATAGGAACTATACTTCAAATAAAACCCCAGATCACTGCCGTATCACAAGTACACACTGACATATAAAGCTGATACTACAATAAAACACAACATATACACTGCTCGTATCAGAAAGTAGACATTCTGTACTGATGCTGTACTGTACGCTAAGGCTAACAAAGAACCTGAATAACTCTTGAAAACATCACAGTGAATTACGAATAAATATATTGTAGCAGAGTTAGAACTAGTCTTTCAGAACTTAATCCACAAATCTTCAATACATCTTACAAAGTTCTACAACCAAGAAAGTCGTTCAATACTACTATTTACATCACACTTACTTATCATTATCGACCCTAACTATTATACTCCACATCAATAGAAAAAAATTATACAAATAATTAATGGAATACTGTCATACACGAAATAATGGATACTACAAAATAACATCAATAACAATGTGCTTATCAGAAAGTTGGTTCTGCGGCCACGAATATTTGTTATACACTGTTGCATTTTGCACAATACTAGAAACTGTTACAAAACATTTGCACACAATATTTCATGGTACTAGCCGAGCTCTAAATATGTATTTACTATTATACGCAAACTTAATTTGAAATATAACACACACGCACTTACTACTTAACAGTCAATACACTAAGACAATATGTAAATTGAAATACCAGAATACATACAAAATTAAGTAAAACAATAAAATTAAAGATAATAATAATAGAAGCGACACTGAAGTACAAATAGACGGCATTGATTGTGGTAATCTGCATCTAGGGGTAACATGTTTCCGCAAAGTTATTCATGTACTCATTAAACATGGCTGTCATGCATATACTAACATAGGTACAATGGCAGCCATTAGTCTCTGAAATTGTCCTAATTTCAGTAGTGAATATTTCGTATAAGTAAGATACCAATTTGTAAGGTAAGAATTATGAAAGTTGTTGGTATAGAATTGCCTGCTGTAGCTGCTGTTTGACACCGCTTCTGTTCAACAGAATTCACGAGCACAAATGTCCATTACTCGATGAATCTGATTCTTATAAAGACTGTACATTCATAAATAATACAGTAAATTATTCTTTTTAATGTTATTTTTTAAGTTTTATGTTGTTTGTGTAATCGATGGGGCTTCCTCCATTCCTTTAATTAAATAAAGATCTTGGATCTATGAATTTTTTTTCTATAAATGAATGCTAGTTGTTACATGACTTTATGCCATTTCTGGGTGAAAAAGTTTTTACTTTTTTACTTTTTTAAAATCGGAGGAAAGTGCTTAATCAGCCCTAACTTTTCAGAAAATGCTTAATTTAACGTTCTCTTGATTTGAGCAGAAGATTTTGAAGCTAATATATCAGTGTTTAGGATAGTTAGCGCAAGTATTTTATTTGCCTTTTCTCGGTTATTTTATCATTGCTTACTTGTTTGCTTGCTTGTTGCAGATATTATTCTTCCTTCTCTTTTATTACTGTTTATTTTTATCTTGCCTGTATGTTTTTATTCAGTTGATAATGTATACTGAATAGTGGATAAATTGTGTATTCAAACACTACTGCCACAAATAAAAACTTATCAACCATGAGTAGAGATGATAATTTGATAATTTGTACTGAATGGTGAATAATTTGTGTATTCAAACACTGCTGCTACAAATAAAAATTTATCAACCATGAGTAAAGATGATAAATATTTTATTTCTGAAGAATATTAGATTTGCATTTCTTCTCTTTCTCTTTCCTTAACTCAACTCCATGTTTCAGACTCAAGAGACCCTATAATTTAAGCAAGTAATTTACTACTGAAAAGTGTTTCTATGCCTATAAAGTATTCTGCCTTAAGAAGGTTGCTTTAGAAGAATATTTTCTAACGGAATATTGGATCACGTTTACACTATGGGTAACTAGGGCATCTGATCATATTTCTCATAATTTTTATAAAGCAATGGCATCAGTAACCTAATACATAAAATCACTGAACTCTGAGTTAATTCAACAAAGGCATCAGTAACCTAATACATAAAATCACTGAACTCTGGGTTTGATCATGGCTATGATTTCTGCATACTTATCTGAAGTAGTTGCATTGGTTGTCCCGATAAGCAACTTAAAGAAAAGCTAATTTCTTTAACCAAATATTCATCCATTCTGCTGTTCAAAATCAACAGAAAAACTTTAAGCACTTAATAAAACACTTTATAACCACAAATAACTTAGTAAACCACTTAATCAATAAACCATTCTGTCTTCAGGACTCAAACCGTGAAGAAATTCTCAGTGTTCAGAGACCATTCTGCTTTTGGAGGGCAGAATTGCCTTACAATATGCTTACGTAGCTTTACAAGTCAGTAGTTCTTAAAGTTCTGTAACTAAAATAAAACATGTAATAATGACTTAGCAAGACATAGCAATAAGCGGGATATCTCTTAGTCAGTCATAACCTATATTTTTATTTATGATATGTGTTCATTAAATTTATTTTGCTTTCTGCGTTGTTTTCTATTTTCAGTATGCTTGTAATAAAGTGATATTGTTTTCGTTTCTTATTTCATTATTACTGTTAAGGAATCAGATATTATTGCAATAGCGTTAGAATTCATCAGCTGTAGTTGCTCTTTAATGTCAAATACCTCATCCGATCCCATAGACAGATATACCAGAGACATTGCAAGCTTAACAAAGTTGATGTAATTCTTCTTAAACATGCAGTATAGCAGATGATGATTCTTTTTATCTTGCATAATTACTATTCACGTTTCATTTGTTACACTGTAAATTTAAATGATTTGCCATTTTGTAAATTTAAACATTTATCTATACTGATGTAAGTTCTAAAACTGTGAAATGTTTTGATCTCATTTGAACTGATAGGATGACGAAATTTTATGGACCTTTATTTCAGGTTACAGAATCATTTCCTGATAATTCGCAACTACTTGTAACAAAATTCCAGAAGTCAGTACCAATGGTGACATATCTCGCATGCTTCATTGTCTGTGATTTCAAATACAGGAGCACCAAAACTTCGTCTGGGAAAGAAGTAAGCATTTAAAGAAATATTTTGCATTACCAACTGAATCTAAGTAATTTTTATCTTAACCGTAACTTTTTCATCATAAAAATTTTTATTTTTTTTAGTTCCGAGTGTACTTGGTTCCAGATCAAGTGAACAAAACTACCTACGCTCTAAATTTTGGAACAAGAGTTTTGGAGTATTTCGAAAATTACTTTGGTATAGCTTATCCATTGCCTAAGCAAGGTAAATCATATAGATTTTGTATGAAATAATCATTTAAAATGCGCCTCTAAATGTACAGATTTTATTCATCAGTCGCTGGCTTTAATTGCGATCGGAAATGTCGATTAAACATCGTTGTAGCAATGACATTTTCAATCTAGTCCAGATATATTATTAACTTTACGAAAATTATTAGTAAATTGTATTCGTTGTTATTTACCTTTAACTAAAATCCAATCCAAAATTTAATTAATGCCAACTACACTAACGCAAAAGGAACGACTTTCTTGCCCAATCTCAGTTTTCCTGACTTTGACAGTCCTATGAACATTTGAATTCACTCATTTAACTGACATTGAATTATTTTCAAGTAGTGCGCGCATATATCATTACCGGTCTTTATATAAATGTCAGTCATAGTTTGAAAGCTTTTGCGATGGAAGATTTAATTTCGATGGCGGAGGTTTTTGAATTACGCTTGACGTATCTTGCGCTCTTTGTATTATTCAATTATAGAGCTGTCTCCATTTAATGTTATAATCATATTAAGTTAGTAAATAGGATTTAGAAAAAAATTCTAATAATCTTTATTACATTAAATATTATCTACAAGTTAACACACATGAAAAGTTGAGAATGCAAGTATAATTTAAGGTTATTTCTTAAAAGACGTATAAAAAGTCCATACATTTCTATTTTTAAATTTAAAAAGTCCTTTATTTTCGACAATGCTTTGATAAACTGGAACTTATTACTGTAATGATATCTATAAATAAATGACTAATGTGAGTTAAATTATTGTCTTCTATTTTCAGATATGGTGGCAATACCTGATTTTGTATCTGGGGCTATGGAACACTGGGGTGTAATTACATTCAGAGAGACGAATCTTTTATATGATAAGCAGAATTCGAGTCCGCAAAACAAGCAGAGAGTGTCTACTGTCATATCCCATGAAATGGCGCACATGGTAAGTATAGAATATTTTAATCGGGTCAGATACAAGCCTACGGGGTAACAAAACAGCGCCGTTGACAAAGTTGGTAAGGCCCTAATGTTTTAAGTGCGAATTTTAAGTTCTTCCATTCTTTAGAGATACTATAGTCACAAGCCTATGACTTATCCAGGATCTGAGCCAAAACCGATTGGCGTGTTGGCTAGTTGGAGTTTAGAACACAGAATTCCATCCACAAATGCGTTTTATTTGCATTTCCACAAATGCATTTCCATCCACAAATACATTTCCATTTTATTCGCAATTATAAATATTAAATTATACTTATTTACTTATACAGGGTGTCTAAAAAGGTCGCTGCCAAACTAACATGCTGGTCTGTCATACCATGATAAACAAGATTTCGGTGACCGCTAGAGGGTAATGTTCATAGGCTTATAGTAGAGTGGGAAGTGTGATCATTTTAGGTAAGGACGTTGCTGGAGAAAGATGAATCGGTTTACTAACTCAGTTCTTTATAGACTTGTGTGACATTCTGTGGAAAGAGTGTTGTAGGATCTGATGGTTGATGTTCCAGCAGCTACACGCCGAGACATCCGGTTTCAGCATGATGGAGCACCTACACATTTTAGTAGCACTGTGCGGTAATACTTCGATAGAGTATATCCTGATCACTGGATTGGCAGGAGGTGGATCAGTCGTATGGCCACCGCTATGCACAGACTTGATTTCCCTGAATTTCTACCTATAGAGATACACGAAGTCTATGATGTACGAGAAGACAGTAACATCGGACATGGATCTCGCCAGGATCGTAAATATGGCGGCAAGTGTCCGTGACACATCTGCCCATTTTGAATGGGTTCGTGAATCCATGCGTGGACGTTATGAAGCATGCATTGTGACGAATGGAAGGAATTTTGAACAACTTCTGTGATTTAACCATCTTGTTATAATAAAAGTCATATTAACATCGCTTTCCACATGCTTTCTTCACCCCCCTCCTCTACGATTGCGAACATTGCCCCCCAGCGGTCGCCATTCGCATTTTCGGAACCAACTTCCTACATAAATCTTGTTTGCCATGGTATGGCAGACCAGCATGTCAAGTTTGGCAACGACCTTGTGAGAAACCCTGTATATATGTATAAGCTTAATATTTTGGAAAAAAGATTGCATTTTTTAGAGACTGCTACATTGTAGATATATGAATAATAGTATAATGAAATGGTGTATAATTTTTCCTTTTTAAAACTATAGTTTTTTTTTTTTTTTTTTTTTTTTTTTTTTTTTTTTTTTTAAAGAATACATTTTCTAGTAAAAATATTTAAGTGAATTTCGGGAAGCATTTCTTTTAGATCATAATTAATGATGAATGTCGATGTTGAAGTATCAACGAGATGAGTGCGATGTTGAAGTATCAACGAGATGAGTGCGATGTTGAAGTATCAACGAGATATATGCTCAAGAATAAATTTTCAACAATGAAAATCAGTTTTTACACCATCGGTTTAGCTCTACGATCTCAGCTACTAGTCTTATTTTACATTTCACTTCAATAAGTTCAGGAAGACGGAATTTTTTCCTTATTGACACTTTGTTTCCTTTGTAACTACATTTCTATGACTGACATATCGGTGATTTATTTGACATTTTGACATTTGTTATCTCATAATGACATAAGTTACCATATAAACTTTAAGGAACACTATTTCGAGAAATATAATAAATAAATTTCATAATGATTATTTAATATTTCGCTTTATAAAATGCTTTTAAAACCATCTGACCGGCATACGTTTATACATATATTTTTAAATCCATTCCCTAAACTTATTCGATACTATTGCCAAAGCAACAATTTTATATATTCAGGATTTTAAAAGTTGTTTTCCTCATGGTACAACGGCGTATATGCAACTATCTACTTCAAATTCTTTTCAGTATGTTCAGTTTTTTTTTTTTTTTTTTTTTTTTTTTTCAGAGGGTGGGACGTATTTGGTAAAGTGTGTTCTCGTCTTCTAGTATTGCGAAAAACATGGATTTTATTCATATTTGGAATCAAATGGATCTTTGGAATTGCGACAGATTGGGAAATATATTTACTTCTGAGAAATGGAAAAGGGATCATATTTTTTCATGAAATACGTTGCTTTTCTGCGAAAAACAGAGGTGATATTTCAACCGAAATAGGAATTTTGGTGACTTTTGTTTTTTCTTGGGGATATATCTATAATAAATTTGTACATGTCTTGAGAAAAACTGCGTTGGCTGATTACATTTTAACTTTTTAAGCTGATTTTTAGTATTTTCTATTCCTAGTTACGACTTTATTCATAAGCAGTTGTATCTAGATAAATTTACTGAGAAAGTGTGTTATTCTTTAATTATTAATTTCAAAGAAAAATATATTTTAATCGTGTGACATAAATATCTTATAAAGAGGAAAAAATCTATTTTTATTTTCCATTTTTTGAAAATTTGTACTGGCGTTCTTTCCATTTCACCGCTTTTTCAACAGTTTTCTTTATATTAAAACCCGTATATCCAATCTTCTCTTTTTTTTCGTGAATTATTTAGATTTTATTCACCTTTGAGATGATATAATAAAGAGTTTTAACTAACTTCACGGACAGCAAAATACAGGCTGACCCAAAAGGCCGTTAACATTTGAAAATTCAATAATCCACTGAATAATGTAAGTAAAGAGGTAAAAACTAACACACATGCTTAAAATGTCATGCGGTTTTATTGAAAACAAAAAAAAGTGCTTAAAACAGCCACAGATGGCGTTTCATATGACAACAAAAGCAATAAATAGCATAACAATTAATTTTTAGCAAGGATTATGTTCTTTATAACAAATGCTCAACATGTCGAGCGACATTCATCAACACTACCTGTAGTTCAGGGACAGTGTTGTGAACAGCACTGCACAGCATCTGTGTAGGTATGGTGAGAAACTGCCGACGGATATTGTCTTTTAGCACCCATAATGAGGTCGGACGATCGCGGTAGACTTGTGATTTCGGGTAAACTGGCAACTAATAAACACACGGATTGAGATCTGGGGACCTGAGAGGTCAAGCATGACTGAAGGGGTGGCTCAGCACGCGATCCTCACCAAACGATGTGCTCAAGAGATCTTTCACGTGTGTAACAATATGGGGTGGAGCGCCATCCTGCATAAAAGTCATAACGTGTTTATTGACCAAATTAGGAGTGATGCGATTCTGTTACATATCAGTGTACCTCGCACCCGTCACACTGACAGTTTGAATAGCAGAACAACGCATTTCCTCGAAGGAAAAAAGTCTCATCACGACTGACGGGATAAATCCACATCACACCGTGACCAATAGCCGGAGGCGAGGATAGAAAAGTGACAAAATCTTCTACCTACATTATTCCGTAAATTAATAGGATTTTCACATGTTAATGGTCTTTTGCGTCACCTTGTATATTCACTGACAAAAATGTCATGTTCGTCTGTTTCTGAATTTCATTTCGTAACCTGTCAAATAAGCAGAAAACATCTATAATTTAATTGTGTAAGTTCTGATTTCATCTTATCTTCAAACTACTCTGCTCGTTAGCTGGGTTAAAGTATTTTATCCCTTTTCATACTGCTTGTTTTTTTTTAAATCCTGAATTAGAATTATTTCAAGAATATTTCATCGAATCGCTACTGTGCTAAGAAAACGCCTTCCATTAGTTATTGTTTTTGCCATAGGAACACAAAATGTCTAACAAAGGAAACTGATTATTTACCTTAGCAGTTCCAAACTTTGGCGCTACTCAAGACATCAGTTCAATGACCAGTAGAGTAGCCGAACACTAGTAGTTCGATTGGTTTCGAATGCCAGCGAACGTGCTGGCTTTATGGATGTTTTTATAGTTTTCCTCGTACGTAATGTGGATACGAGCCAGCTTCTCTTCGAAATCCTTCACAACGACATCGCTTCCCTTACGCACATAGCCCGTGTTCTTTGTCACCATCAAATAGAACCAAAACCAAGACATCAACTCATAGTTTCTGGAATACGTCTTGACAATATTATTTAAACTTTAAGAGTAGAGCACCTACTTAAGAATTCATCTGTCGTTAATTGATGAGAATAACTCAAAACATTGTTCAAAGAAGCTATAGTCTCTAGCTGAAGAAGCTGAATGCAAAACAATCAAATCCATTCAAAAGCCTTAAAACACGCAGCTGAAATTTTAGCAGCATAAATCACATAAGTCTGTAGGGTTGTTATCATTTTAATCAACCAGTTATTTATAATTTCTACTTTATTAGCATTCTCCTTTCCGTCCTCACCAGAATGCAAATCAGTTTGAGAGAATTTAAATCGAGGGTTTGGGATTGAAGGACAGAGCATGTTTCTGCCTCTCGAGGTCACGTTACTAAGTTTCCGTAACTTTGGTACGATTGGAATTCTTCGACTTTAAATTGTGCTGACATTTAAATTGTGATTCCTGTGAGAAGTTTTGAGCCAACTTTACGCTAAAGCAATTATGTAGTCTTTAGTTTTGAATTTCAGTTTGACTGTTACTTTTAAGCTTCATCGCCACAAGTGATGGATGTTTTGTTAAGCGTCAGACATGCATTTATATTAAAGTTCTGATTTAATGAAAAAATTGCACACTGCGAGATTGCACATTAAGAGAAATTAATTAAATGTGCTTCAGGGCTGAAATCTGCAGTCTGTTCCATGTGATTTTGAACAAAGATAACTCTGAGAAAATGCCTCTAACATTGAAATGAAATGAGATAAAATTACAGCCCTGATAAAAGAATCCTGTCTAACATGAACTTTAATAGCTATAAATAACTAAGAAAAATTCCGGTATAAAACTAAACTGACGAGCTGAGAGGATCTCAAACGAATGAAAATAATCAGACATACGTGAGATTTTGTTTTCAGCCAGAAACTGCTAAATTTTGAAGATACATTGGTTACGTAGAAGATACAAGAGTAAAGAACCATTCAAGCGTTTGGACCAAGACGCTGTTAAAGAAGAGTTAATGCTAGTTGTGTTTGAAACAAAATAGCAGATACATTGCTTATATTAAGTTGATATCTCTTCTTCTATTCTATCTCTTCTTCTATATTGCTTATATTAAGTTGATATATCTTCGTTATAATTAGACGTCCTATAATCATAATGGTAATTCTTCATTCCCTAGTCTTGGAAAGTCTCCGTGACTACCTGTGATACACTTCCCCAGCTACAGAAATCCGAAATTTTTTGCAGTCTGAAAATTTAAGGCTAGAGCCCAGAACCTCAATAGAAACCATTAAAAATTTTTTAAATTGAAAAATATTAAAACATTTTATATTTTAAGTTTTAAAAAATCATAAAAATAAATACTTTGTGCCATTCACTTAACATGTGGCATGAGAAACACTTTTATTAACTACAACAAAGCTGAAAATATTCATTCATTTTATTTGGTGAATATAAGCTAAATGTATTTTAATTTTCTAATTAGATAAATTATTTTAAAAAGTAAGATACAAATTTGAATTGTTAAGAAAGGAATTAAGTTAAAAGTTTAAATCTTTCAGTTTGTTGATCAATAACAGACTGATTAAATTTGAAAGAAAAATAAAAGACTATGCGGCGAAGCGAAACGGGTGAGGCAAGTAAGTCGAGGACTAGGACACCTAAGGAGTCAGGTATGCTTCCCATGTCTAAAAATGGGGGGAGGAAGTAGAATAATTTCAAAATTAATTGTACAGGTATAGTCCTACCGTACTTATAGTACAGCTGCTCTCCAGTTTTAATGCAGGACACCCCGGGAACGGATGCGAGGATCTCTCATCCTTTTTCCTCTACCACCAAACGACTTGAGAGAAATTTCAGCTCGCCGGCGTTTTAAGTGCCTGAGGCCTCACAGACACTGTACACTTACAAACATTCATGCCTGCTTTGTGATTCGAGGCCGGGAATTTCTCCCACTTTCCTAGCGTGCCTTCGGGGTGTCGTAGCTCTGCACACTGGGCCGGTATCCAGAGGTCAGTGGTTCGATTCCCGGCGAGAGCGATTGCTAATTGTTCACCTCGCTTATTTCCAAAAAATGCCTAATGTCTCTACACATTGTTTATAGCTAAAATATTAATTATATTAACTAGTTATTAGCTTATGGGTGCAAACATCAGCTGACTAAGAATGAGGAAAATGTCTAGTTTATAGTTTTTACTTAAAATTGTCCTTATTTGTTTACTGGTTTTTCTTAAAATAACGTTAATTTATGTTTCTAAATAATTTTTTCTAAGTTTGTTTAATTTCTTATAATCCAATCACTCAAGCAATTACTCAAAACATTATGCAGAACTGTTTACCTAGGAAAAGAGACATTTACTGTTAGCTAGAAAGATAACTGCTTAATTTAAACCATCCACAGCAAAAGTAGGTACAGTTTTATGAGCGAGAAACTCCATAATCTTGTCACTATAGGCTGATTAAATGAGGTTTCTAAAAAGTGGATGTTTTATCATATTTTACGCAGTGTAACTTGCGGGAGGATTTGTTACGCTCTTATAGTTACAGCAGAATCAATTGGTACTCATAGTTATAATAGAATCAATCAAATGCTCATAGTTACAGTAGATTCAATTAATGCTTCGTTTCCAAATATCTAAGGATCTGTTGCTTATTGTTATATAAGAAGCAATCAATTTTATATTGTTTTTATTTGTGAGTTAGAATATGTAGTGGTTAATATTTTATTTTGATTTGTGAATTAAAACATGTAGTGGTTCATATTTGATTTTGATTTGTGAATTAGAACATGTAGTGGTTTACATTTTATTTTGATTTGAGAATTAAAGCATGCAGTGGTTTATATTTCACCCTCGTTAACTAACTACTGTCAGTAATCTATACATTTACTATTGAATCAAATGAGAAAGAAATTGATGCATTGAATAAGTTAAAAGCCCTTCAGCAGTTTCAGTTTATTTACACGGTAGAACAGGGAGGGGCAAACTTTTTCGCTCGCGGGCAAAAAATCGGAAAAAAAATGTTTCGCAGGCCAAGATAAATTTTTCTAAAATTTTAAAAACAATATACAAATATTACAATTTAAATATTGTTGCGTGCGTACAGTTTCGTAATAGATTGAATGCACAAGTGCGATAAAATGTTATATTCTTTGAAGACTGCTACAGCTTCATTGCAGATGAGACACACTGGTTTATCTTTTACAATAGTAAAAAAAAATATTTCCAGGTCCATTCATCATTAAATGTACTTTAAATCAACTTCACGTTTTTAGTAGCCATTTTAGGGATGAAATATTTTACGAATAACCAAACAAGCACTAGTTACACTACACTTTAATAATTTCACCACTATTCCCAATGATGCTATATATCCGCAATCTATCCATACGCAGTAAATAATATTAGAAATCGCCCTAAAAGAAAAAGACGCTGGCTGGAGCTTAAAATGCATAGTCTGCCACATGGGGAGGTTTAATTCAGCTATATTGGATTCCCATATGTCTGCTCCCCGAGAAAGAGAGAACACTTGTTGGAGCGAATCTACAGCTATAACTAACTAAGAATTTCCGCTTTTAACACTTTACTGATTGAAATCTGTATCTGGTTGCTATTTCTGTCGATATATGTTTTGTAGAACAAAACTAGCGAAAATAAAAAGATTGAGAAAAAGGAAGAAAAAAATAATATTAAAAAAAGTAGAAAAGGAGATGGATATATGATATATAAATATATTTTTCTTTTATTTGTCTCGGACCGGCAAATTAAAATTCTATCCGCGGACCGGATAGAACCTTTCAGCGGGCCGTAGTTTACCCATTCCTGCGGTAGGCTATTTTTTTTTCAAGTCTGCTCAACTATGGTGCACATTCCGGTCTAGAACGTACCGACATTTGAAACCCTAGGAGCTAGGCACTTGGTCTAGTAGCTACGCCTTTTCTTAATTTATTTTTATTTAGCTAGTTTTTTTTTGTTAATTTTATTACAAATGAATGAAATGAAAAAGAAATCAATGTTAAACTTAAAACATGGAGCTATTAGTAAAATAACAAAGCCTTATTTCATATTTAAATCGATTTTGCATTGTTTACAACGGAAGCAGATATATCCTTAAAAATCTTAAGGTCTCCAACTAAAAAAATATCATGTTTATTTTCATATTCGGTTATTCTTGGCACATTCCATTAGTTCGATCTTCCATTAAGTTGTAAATAGAAGTGAAAGTTCTTACTTACAAGTTGTTTTGTAACTTTAAATACTCTTCCGTGTTTAATCCCATAATTGGAATGCGCAGTTAATCAGATGAATATTTTTTTACAGTGGTTTGGCAACTTAGTGACCATGGAATGGTGGGATGACCTTTGGCTCAATGAAGGATTTGCAAGTTATGTGGAATACAAAGGAGTTAACGAGCAACATCCAGAATGGGATGTGGTAAGATAACTTCATACATCTTACTTAAAACTTTTAAAACAAAGCTCACGACATTAAAAAAAAATAAAAACAAAGCTACTTTATTTTATCATCTTCTAAATTCAGTGTGTTTCGTCGTCAGTATATCGTTAAGTTTGCGTTTGGTTCAGCTTTTTTTTTATAGAAAACTTTACAGAAGTTTATCGAAGAAAAATACCCTTTATAGAAAAAATATTCGAGTTTCCAAGTATAAGTTTTACTATCTACAGTTGACAAGCTTCACTAAGACCGACTCAAATATAATCGAGATCAGCAAGTTGCTGTACATTATGACTTATTTCACTTGTCTCATAACAATATTAAATCTACAAATTTTATCGTGAACAAAAGGCAAGGATTTCTTCTGTCGTTGGTTTAAAGGTCTTGGGCACCTTCTAGTTGATAGTACGAGTTTATCCAGCTCCGTCCGAAATTTGGAGGAGAATCTCCAAAGGAACGAATCCGAGGATTTCCCACCCTTTCTTTCCTTCTACCAACCCTTCTAGAGTGCTTTTGGCTCTACATTATTTTAGGTGCTTGCCTGAAGCAAAGCCACCATACCAAATGCCCATGCATTCTCTGAGATTCGAACCCGCGCACAAGTCCATACAGTCGACTTTCCTACCGTCATACCATCAAGGCAGCTCAGTAATTTATAGCTTTATTAATTCGATAATAATTATCTTTCGAGAAGATATTTTTTCTGTGAAAACATTTTATTTAGACCACTGCATGCACTTACATTTTATGTAAATACATCCTTCTTAAACGGGAAATAAATACTAAGGACACTCAACAATGCTCGATGGAAAAAATGTCCTAACTTTTCATTTTTTAAACTTCCTGACAAATTTAATTGTGTGTTAGTTTTGTGACTCCAGAACTCTCGCTGCTAATTTCTACTTTGCAAAACAATCTAAGGAATTCTACGGAATACAACAGAAAGCTTCCTTTATTTAAACTAAAAATCTGATGTGGACACCACATGACTTCCTTGTACGGAATACTAAATTATATGCATTTTTTCCTGCATTTCATTTAAACTTATTTCCTCGAATTTTATTAGAGATATATTTCTCATTCAATTAATTCAGTTCTCACTTCGCGGTAAAGCAAACAAAGATAAAAACTCAAAATATCTTCATTAAAATTTGAAAGGTATAGAAAAACATAAAACATCAAATACAATTAAAAATACTTTTTTATTGTACAATTAAAATTACAGTTTTTACACAAAAACAAGCAATTCGGCCAACAGGCAAGTAGGCAGGCTTTTCGGTGAGCAAAACTAAAAGCTTCCTTTTGGACCCACTCGGCAAAAAGACACTGAAGGTGCAGGAAGACTTAACTCGTTATTCTGCTAAGTTTCAAATGTGTACAAATATGGCTGCAATGGTAAAAAATAATTAGGCTTAGTGTCACTTAAACAACTTTTAAATTGTTGATAATTCTACAAATATTGCATTCAGGTTAACTAACGGAATGGAAATCTTACCGTAAGACAAGAACAACATAATTCAATCATTTTTAGAGCAAAAAAATATACAATTTGCCAACATATGAAAATAAAAATAAACTGAGCTCAAGAGTAACAGAGTGGGTATATATACGTAATGAAACTATGGTTCGATGACACGCGATGAAAGATTTGATTATTCATGCGGCACAAACTTGCATTAAAATTTTCGGTGAAACAGGACTTTTCCCATGATTCACTGTGAACGCAGAATAACAAACCGGTGTAGATTTCTTCATAATTAGAACTGGTAGAAGAATGTAGCGGCAAAACAAGTTTGGAAGCATTGAAATACGAACGCTGAGACGTATATGAGTATAAATACTAATTGCATAGATACTTGATGCTTAGAGCGTCCATCCACTTCTGAAGAAGCAGTCGAGCCGGATTAAACTCCTTTTATTTATTTAAATTCCCATTTTGTGGCCACAATTCACTTGGCACTCTACTCGTGCCTATTAAAGAACATTTACAATTTTGATATTATTTCCATAGAAGCGAATATAGCAGCACACACATGATTGCAGAAAGACATCTGGCCAAGAGGAAAGCACAAGCAAAAATGACGCATCAGTTCATAGAAAGTAGGAGGGACTCAAAAGTTTCAGTTTTTAATTTTGATTTACAATTTGGTGATTGGTCAAGAGACATCTTCATTAAGGGTTATGTAAGATCGCATGATTAATTTGAATGACGCAGTTTAGACTTACAGCGCTATATTTAGGACAGATAGATGAAGTTCCCAAATGAAAAAAAAAATAAACGAGGTTATAGTGAATTAGATTTTGAAGTTTGGTTTCATATTTTTTACCTTACATATATCTTTATTGATATTTATACACTTTTGGTTCTGCCGATTTCAATCGAAAAGAGAGATGCACAGCTATATGTTCTAGCAGTCCTATAAACAGAATTGCAACGTTCTGAGGCTCATCGATTTTGAGTTATGCGAGACACATACATACGTGGGTACGTACGTACAGACGTCACTGAAAAAAAATCTCTTCTGAATCCATTTTAAAAACTTTTTGCAACCCGTTTAGGGAAAAAGAGTCCTTTATTCTGTCCTTACGTACAGATAGCACGCAAAACCAGCGTTAAATTGCATTCGATAGCTGTCAAAAGGAATATTTTCGTTGAAATATGATACCCGAAACTTTTCACGATTAAAATACTTCCTTTATTTCGTGCAAGGAAGTAAAAAGAAATACAGAGAGATATATTTCACAGTAAAAATACACTGTTTATCATAAATTAAGGAAAAATCACAAAAATCACAATTACTGAAAAAGTTACATGTAGAATTTTATGAAACTTACCAACAATATACAACACATAGTGAGGTATCAAATAACATAAAAAGAAATTACCAGACAATTATGGTAGTATAGAAATTAGCACATGTATAAAATGAAAAAATCGAAGGAGTCAGTTTTCTATAGGAAAAGTACCTTCAATATGGAATATGGTCGCCTCTAGAAGGAATACAGCACATACAGCGATGTGTGATACTTTCAATTATGCGGTCTATCTGTTTCATAGGAAGCGAGAGCCATTGCTCTTGCAAAGCAGTTGCAAGCGCGGCAAGGGTCTGAGGGGGCGGATTGAGAGCAGTTAGACGTCTCTCTAAAGCATCCCAAACGTGCTCGATGGGATTCAAGTCCGGGGATCGAGCTAGAAACTCCATGCGCATAATTGTTTCCTGTTGAAGATAATCATTTACGATGCGGGCCCTGTGTGGTCTTGGAGTTGTCGTCCTGTAACAGGAAAGCCTCACCTATTGCCCCGGCACATGGGCGCATATAAGCATCAAGGATGTCATCTCTATAAACCGGAGCATTCACGATTTCCGTTGGAAAGACATGGAGGTCTGTGCGTCCACCCAAAGAGATGCCACCCCAAACACAGACACTGACTCTTCCGTATGCATCTCTTTAACGGATGTTTGACGGATGATAACGGGTTATAGGTTCTCTCCATATCAAATAAAGCCTACTATCGCTTTCTAGACTAAACCTAGACTCATCCGTAAAGAAAACAGCCCTCCACTGATCAGGCGTCCAGTAGACATGCTGTCGTGCCTACTGCAAACGGTTCCTCCTATGGCGTGATGTGAGCAGCACGCAAATGGCTGGTCACTTCGCATACAGACCACCTTCCTGAAGCCTTCTACGCACAGTTGACGTTGACACCAACCTTCCGGTGGCTGCAGCAAGGGAGGATCTAAGAAGAGTCGGAGTAGCGGTTCTATTCCTGCGTGCACAAAATGTCAAATATCGGCCATCGGCGCTCGTCGTAGCAGTTGGCCGTCCTTGGCTGAACCTCCTAGATGCCGAACCTGTGGTTTGAAATCGCCTCCAAAGTCTGTGAACCACAGAAGAACTCACGTTTAGCCATCTGGCCACTTCTGTTTGACTTTATCCTGCCTCTAGTCTCCCCATGGCTCTCCATCGTAGTTCTGCAGGCAAATGATGCCTGGAGGTCATTGTTAACAATTGGCCATCTCAGAATTCTGATGTCACTATTACAGTGAAATATGTGAACTTGCTCTCAAACATGGACTTTTATTCTCGTCGCAGGCGACGTATTCCGAGTGCAGCGCCACTAATTTGCATATTGCAGTTTATTCAGCTATTCTTACTTGGCAACATATTCCTATTTTTACATTTTTGGCTTATTTTTGAGGGAGTTATCCCTATTTTTGTGATTTTCCCTTAATTTATGATAACCAGTGTACAATGATTCTTAAATGTTTGATTTAATGAAGGCAAAATACGCGAGATCTATTTGCCAAAGGACGTATATGTTCGTGCTTTATTTGTTTGTATAGTCGATTAACACAAAGTTTTCTAAGAGATACCTTCGTGGATAGTTTTTAAGAGAAATGGGTCTGTAATTATAACATACCTGTTGGAAACAACATCAAAAAATAATTCGTGCAATCAGTTCTTTTGTCAGAAACAGGAGCTGGAAGGAATTAATTACTTCTGTTCAACGACTTTAAAGATACTTAAACATATAATAACGCTTGAAGAAAAGCTAATTAGTTAGTTACTTTAATTACAATAAATCACTCGAGATCTATCTGCCTATGAAAAGCTATATACTGAAACTGATCACTGCCCAGAATAATGTTGCGGCCGTGATACCTAACGAATGTGATGTTAATGCAGCATTGGTCGCCTTCGACTATACTGAATCCGAGAAAATGATTATATATAATGAGAAACATTCATAAAAGAAAATTTCCTGAAAGGAGTTTCAGTAGCACACTTCCAGCATCGGTAAGGATTTAGAAACATTGGAAATGGGGAGTGCCTTTCGGCAGTGAAGGATCCGGTTGGTGTTGTTGTGCAAAGTATTTCATCTTGAAGTTTAATTTTACATTATAATAGGACTAACTGACTTTTACCAAAATACTGCCATCACACGATGCAATCAAAGGCGAAGACATATTTACAACTCG